GTGATACTGTGCTGTGCTACTTCCTCAGTGATTATGTCAATGATCAGTTTATCTCATCATTAATTAGCCATAGGAATCTCCTGTTCTCTACAAAGAGTCCAGTTTGGCACTGGAAATCCTAACAGTATTGGAGCGATTCTTCTGGGCTGGTCCAGCACTCCTTGTGGCCCTCGGGTCCCCCTCTGCACAGGTGACAACTCAGTAGAATAGAAGGGTGCATTCCAACTGCTCTGTCTTTTGAGAAGCACACTGATTTCTCTCTGGTGTATCTCTGTAGATGTGGGTGCAAGCAGAACTCATCTCACAGAACGTACTCACTGTTGTGTTTCTCTCCCCACTCCGCAGTGCTGATTGACAAGGACCAGTCGCCCCGCTGGAAGCCTGCTGCTCTGGAAGAAGTCAGCGATGAATTCGTGGACAATTGTTTCAAGCCTCTGGGAAACAACGATCTCAAGCTGTAGAGATCACATCTGTTGACATCTTACCCATTTGCTTCATTTTATGGTACAAAAACTAAGAACAGCATGACTAAGTATGATGAAGCTCTTAGCCAGCCTGACTTGTAACTATTTTTCACATTCAGTACCATTCTCTTTTGTTATGCAGCTGTAATGACAACATGATTACATCTCTGGTTAATAAGGGGAAAAATGACTTGAAGGCAAATAGTTATTCTGACTGCTGTTAGACAATGATTAATGTTCAGCTTTGGGCCTCAGCCATTGAGGGGAATCTTGGGGGGAGACAGCACGGCTCAGGGATGGGCTGCAGAGCAGGAGCTGAGGAGCCCATGGTATTCGTGGCTCTGTTGCTGGGCTGTTGAAGCAGGATTGGGCCTCTGATTCTTCTGTTTGCAATGAAATTAAGATATACTTAAACATTAAAACAGTCAGAGCTATGAAGTTAAACGCCAGACATGCTAATTTCATGGTGTTAAGTGGTTTTTTAAATCAAAGGTCAGACTGACGTATGATTATTAGTCTGAGAGCAAGGAATTATTCTATTGATCTAACATTTGGTCTGTGTACAACATTGCCACGTGATGCAGGCGTTGTTTCAAATGTCATAATAGTGTCAGAGCCTCGAGCACATTTCTTTCCTCTTCTAAAATCTATTTTGTAAAAATGCCATTGATTGAATTGCATAATGAGCTTCTCACGATTTCAAGCATTGTTGGAGCTTTTCCTGCTCTCCCAGTGGCAAAGAAGTCACTGTCTCCAGCCTCCTCTGCCTGCCAAGGAGCACGTTGGCTGCTGGTGGTCCAGCGATTCCAAAGGCAGCGGCCCTGATGCTCACGTGGCTGCAGTGTGGCTGCACCACGCTGGCTGGCTTCATTTCTCCTTGTGTCCAGCAGCATCCTGAGCTGGAGCCATCCCTGACTGCTGGGTGGGAAACTTGGGACAGGTAGGAGGAATGCAGCAGGATGCACTGGTGATACAGAACAGTGGCAAACAGAATGCCTGCTGCTACACAGACCCTGAAGTTCTTTTACACAACAAATCCTCACAAGTGTGTCTGTGGGGATCAACATTTAAACATTCATCAAAAAAACACCCAGTGTTCATTAAAGGTCACTGAATTCTGTTGCTAACAGTATTTAAAGTTCTGTGATACAACCAGAGCCCCTTGATACCACTACCAACTCTAGGGAGGGGGCAAGACTTATTTTTCTATTGTGTATGCAAAGCACAGCTACAGATCTTTGTTTGGTATGAAGGCTGCACACTTTTATATACTCAAGCAAATTGTATGTCAGTACCTCTTCTGACTTGTTTCCACAGTTGGAGACAGGTTACAAATGCACAATTTGGGAAGAGGAACCACTGACATTAAGGAAAGAACACTTCTGCTCAATACCATCAGTTGTCAGCACTGGGAATTAAAATCAGAGCCATGGAATGGTTACAGAGCTCCCAGCGTTTGGCAGCTTCTGTTACCAGCAGCACTGGTGAGTGCTGGCTGAGGGCTCTTTCCTTTCTAATGCTGTTGCCTGGAAACAAAGTTCAGGAAATTCAAGCATCAAGGTGAACTGCTAAATTGACTTTCAGAGAATTAAAGGTGAGCAAAATGAAGAAAAATGGCACTTTGCTTTGTCACTAGAATCTGGAAAGTAAAATTAGGAACGTTTCAGCTGCCATGTAACATTAACTCTGCACGTATTTACAAGAGAGACCCTGGGTTTATTATTAAAAGTGACCGAGAGGCTTTGTTAGCACCTTCCGGATAACTTCTAAAATATGACTCAAATTTCTCACTTACTGGTGCTGTAAGAAATGCAGACCTTCCTCTTGTTTTAAAATTGTGTTCTAGATCCTTCAACAACAACTATTCTTCATTTCAGAAATAACTGGTCCATTCCATTATTCCTGTACAAATGCTACAACTGTCAGCTGCTGCATTCACGGCACAACACAGTGATCCCCATGGTGCAGGGATTGTCCTTCTGTGCCTGAGAGGCACCTGCAGTATTTTAGCTGCTGCTGAGCCAGGAAACAGTGATGTGCATATCTGTGAGCTTCCGAACTTGGTGTGAATCATCTGGAGCTCACAATAACAAGACCCTCCAACTTGTGCCTTTTTACCAAATAAAAGTCGTAGAAACAGATGGTCATTTTAATTTTATTTGGTCCACAAGAAAATATTTTCCACAAAAAATATTGTAAAAATATATTGTAGTATGTTTTATTTGAGAATACGGATGTGTTGTACTACAGAAAGGCCAGTGGTACAAAGTTGTGCTGCAGTTAGTGTGCTCCAAACCATTCCTAGGAGGTTGTCAGTCACACACTACCCACTCAGACCCTGCGTGCGTTCCACAGAGAAAACACAAAGCACACAGACTGAACTCCCAAACAGGAGGATGTGTGTATTTCAGAGCACACCAGTCCCCTGCCAGAGTGCCCTTAGAATGCTAAATCGAAGAATTGGTGGCAACTTTGCACTAAGAGTGGCTTTTGAAGACTGCAGAATAGTTCCATCTAAAGGTAAGCAGACAGATGGAATTCCATTTAGGTGAAGAAGCCTTTATTATTACCCACTTAGCATTAGGCCTGTTAGCACAGCAGCACGGCCTTTCCAGTCACTGCTACCTATGGCACATGGACAGCCCAGTGGCTGGGCCCAGCCTGGCCAGTGCGAGTCAGCAGCAGCCGTGTGCTGAGCTACCAACAAGTTCTTCTGACCATTCCTTCTGGACACACTTCCCTCAAGTGATTCAGTTTGTGTCAGAAAGTTTGCAGAACAGCCGAGCTCTCTCTCAATTCTTGTGTGAGAGTAAGCTGAAAACACTGGAATGGTCCTCTTTCTGCTGCTTACCATTGCTTCAGAGTCATACTCGTATCAGTCACGAGGGCTGTGTGTACCTTTTAAAAATAGTAGCCGTGTTTGCCAGTATGGAAAGCAGTTTCCTTCTGCAAAATGAAAACATGAAATGGAAAGCACTTGGATGCAGGAAAAAACGACATGGCTGATACACTGGCCTTAACAGAAGAAGGAGCAAATGGGCGCTAAAAAAACACAAGCTTCCTATGAGGCATTCACTTTGCCTAAGACGGCAGCAGAGCAGTAGGAGATCAGTTTGCTTCCTCCTCCCAACCCCAGAGAGCAGTGCAATGGAGGTCAGGCCCCAGGCCCCAGAGAACAGTGGAGCTGTGAGTTCTGCAGCGCTGCTGACGAATGCAGCAGCCCGCTAGCCTAGGGCCCAGGCTCACTCACAGCGCTGTGTTCTGCTCAGGCCTGAGGCTCCCACAGCTCAGCTGTGCCTCAGTGCACGTGGCTCTACCCGTGGGGATGTGCTCAGCCTGCGGGGCAGAAGGAGGGCAAAGGCCAGCAGTTCTGAGGGCGTGATGCTGGATTGCAAGCTCAGCGCAATGCAGCCGTAGACCCATGAAATCAATACAGCCCCCGACCAAAAAAAAAAGGAAAAATAAAAAAAAAAGCAAAGCAAACAGCTTTGGCCTGAACGCAGCAATTAGATGTAATTAAACTCTTACTGCAACATTTTAGAGAACAGCCTTCATGCATTTGCAAAAGCCAGAGCATCTGTTAACTTAATTACAATGCACTATTCATCAATACCGTAATGTTTCTCATCGGTTCTGTTAAGAGTGGAAGTTGAATAGGATCATAATCCATATGGTTCCCTGAATACTATTTGGTTTTATAAAACGCTTCTCACCGCCTTCGTCATTTCGTGGTTTGTAGGCCTGCTCGGGTCAGAGAATCAAAGTGAAGGTTACAACAGCAGCTGCCTTTGCTACATAGAGGTCCTGCTTTCGCTTCCGCAGAACACAGACAAGTTTGCCAAGCATACCATTCTCGTCACCTGCAAACAGGCCATGTATTTTTTATGCAGTACATAAATATAATCCGTGCTTTGTTCTTGAGCATCTCTGGGGCCCCTGCGGCAGCGCTCCTACAGTTGCAAGGCAGTTGCATTCTTCCCATTTTCTTTTTTAACACTGATTTCTGATCACTCAACACATACAAAGACAGACAACACTCATCATACGGCTGATAACGAACAACACTTGATTAATAGGTTCTACTGTATTCCACAGGGTTTCCTAGCAATATAGATCAAAAGGCAATTTTTTCCAGCATCTCCTTGCAAACACATTCAGAGGAGCACTCTGCTCGATCACAGCTGACTTTACTCAACTTGCACCAGCACCAAACACCAGCTGCTGGCAGACAGACGCTCGCTGATGCCAGACCAGGCTCAGGGCACATCGCTCTCAATGAAAGGGATGTCGCTGTATTTGCTCTCTGTCACTGCCCACTGCTTCACTGCCTGATCGACAATCTCATGGGAGAGGCGGTGTGCGTAGTCCAGCACTATGGCGCTCGATGGACCTTTCTCATCCACCATCCCTGCTATCAGTGACGATTTCTCCCCGCTGCACCCTTCTTCACCTTCCCTGCTCCCTTCCACACGGATAGCGTTTGATCCCGCAAAGGCATCTTTGGACTTGATGCATCCCATGGTACATTTGAAAACCCAGCTGCAAAATTCAGTTCAACAGCATGTTTTCATAACCTGGAAGCGGCTCCTTCCTTTGTTGCACAGCGTTGCTGCTTCTTGCCAGGGGTTGCACTGTCTCCACCAGTGCTTCTTTACTTCTGGAGAAATCTGTCAAAACAGTGTTTCACAGAAATGCGGTAAATAGTTCACCATTCTCAGTGAGCTCAAAGGGGAGCTAAACTGGTTGCAGAAGCTGTAAAACCAACTCCAATAAATCTGTGCACGGTGCATCTAAACTGTGTTTTATCAGTAACACCCATCTACTACAGTCATCAGGCAGAGTCCAACTCGAATTCAAGCTTCCCTGGAATGCAGTCCCCAGGGAGTGACAAGAGCTGTAAGCCATCTATAAGAGTCTGTCTGCAATATAACCGTACAGGTCCCGGGAATAACATCTGTTTCTTCCAAACAGATGAGACAGTGCTGCTTTCCTCAGTCTGTACACAAATACCATTTAAACTGCAGTGACTGCTGCTGCTGCTAAGAAAGTAAAACAAAGAAGAGCCTCATGCAGACAAAAGCAGCAGGTAACCATCACCTGACAGGACTCGAGTTACATAAACGCCAGATCTGCTCACCTTGCCAGAACAAGCGCTGTAAGAAGCACACGCTGACATGACCTCAAGGTCTGCTTCACAAGAATGTGCCAGCAGAAAACTACCTTTTTCCCCACACCTGAGTGGGTCCTTTAGTCAAACTGATCGAGAATGTGAACTGAGCCCACATTCCGCTACATGCAGCTTTGTTACTAACCTACAGAGCAGTTTCTCAGGCTCTTTGCTCTAGAGGGGCACAGCAGAACTGTACGATCTGCTTGACGTTGCTTGGCATGAGCTTACCACTCCCCAGAGTTAGTAGACTGCCAGCCAAAATAAAGACTGTGCTGCACAGAAACCAACTGTTCCCTATGCTTTCACCCAATGACGTCGTACTGAGGTCAGCCAAAGTTAAACATTTTTTTGTAAATAGCCTTTGAAAACATAATTATGGCAAAGATATTAAGCTTTGTTTATTTCCTTTATATATTGAGGGAAACAGGGGCTCCAATCCAGTAACCTGATGCCAGGCAAATACTGAGAGAGGAAATCCCATTTGCAGGCAGGTGACCACAAAATGGCTTAGGTTGGAAGAAGCCTCAAAGATCATCTAGCTCCAACCCTCTGTCATGGGCAGGGCTGCTAATCATCAGATCAGGCTGCTCATCCAGGGCCCCATCCAACTTGGCCTTGAGTACCTCTGGAAATGGAGCCTTCTGTGTTCAAGGCCCACAGGTAGGATAGCATTGCCCCAGCCCAGCAGCTGGCATGTGTGAGTCAGGCTCATGGTGACAAGCTTCTGCCCTCCTGTAGGAGAGGACATTCGTGAGAATGCCCCTACCTCTAGAAGGCAGCTGTGACTGGCAGCCCCAAGCACCACAGTGGTGGTTGGTGCTCCTGGAGGAAAGTCAGACCTGTGGGGCTTCTGAAGCCACAAAACATTTTCATACCTTTCACTTGGTATCAGAACCTCTCAGCATTTTAAAGAAACATCTGTAAACCACTTAAATCAATGCAGTGTTTATTTTGACCATAATGACATGATGCAGCAGGTGCCAGTGTGCTTTAAGACTAAGCAATGTAGTCATCAGGCCTGTGACATAGACCCTGCCTCCAGCATTGCTAGTTTGACCCAACACAGAAGATAGTTAAACTGTCATTGAGGTTTATATTGTGAGAACTTGTTATTAAATGAGTAAAAGAAAGGATTCTCTTAAGTGCACAAGAAACTGAATATATATTCCTGCGGAGGTTTATGAAAATCCACGAGGCTCATACCCATGTCTTTCAGCCACGTGCACTGATGCAACTTATAATGCTGGCAGAACGTGCTTACAGACCAGAGGCCAAGGAGATGTCTGAAAGCCATTCAGACTCTGAATAATTCAAAACTTCTAAATAGTTTTGTCTCATACCTTTCTAATTTCAATATTTATCATTAATAAAACATAAATAAAATAATTTCCACTTGCACTTCTCAAACTCTACAGAGCTCAGAGCATCTCATCTGGTAAAGAATCACTGGACAGCACTGCTTTATCCAGACCAAGGAATACAGAGGCTTCTCCCACAGTGCACAGATACCCTGCCTAATCCCTTCTCATTATACTCTGCTGGTGACAGTCAGAAGTTTCAGATTAGATCTCATGACACCCCTGGACTTAGTCAGAACCATAAATACTGTAAATTTAAACCTCAGCTTCCCCTCACCATGGTTGGAGTGCTGTCCAAATACTCTATGCCAACGGTGATATATTAGCATATTTTTGTCCCTTTCATCTCTCACATTTTGTCTAATGACTATCTGAATTTGGCTTTTCATCTATGGTTATAATCCAATTCTTTTCTATGTAATCCTTTTTTCGGTGCTCTTTAGAGAAGGTCTGTTAAATATCAACCACTTGTTGTACTTTATCCTGGTGTTAAGGTGTGTCGGCCCTACAGCTGGAGATTTCCTTTCCCCTTTTTAAGCGACTCCAGCAAATGAGTTAGGGCCAGGCGGAAGATGGAGGGAATGTGAGTAGAAGGACAAGCATTTCCTAAAGCAGATATGGAGGGATTCTGTAGGCCAGGATCTTCTCCTCGAGGACTTCCCACCTTCTTACCTCCGCCGTTTCATTGGGGCTAACTCAGATATGGGTGTGACTGTCTAACATGGAGAAGGGAGCAGGCTAGGAAACAGCAAGACATGCAAGACAACGAAATTGTTTCCTATTGATTACTAGTTAGGCTTAAAAGCAAAGTTATTGACCCTGGTTTCAATCGTATACTCCTGCTTGTTTCATTATTCATGGAGCGCAGTACTTTCTAAGTCAGCGCAGTAGGTTTTACTGTTTGTCTGCTCTACTCTAGTTAATAATTGTTGGCACATAAATGCTTGTAAATGAAGTTGTCCTCCATCTTCTGACTGATTTCCCGTTTTTCTGACAGCCACTGCTTGCACATGTAGGATAAAGCACTGTTTAAATGCTCTCTGCCTATCTCATTTCCAGCGTTGTTCTGATAGGGATTTTAACGCGGCTGGCTGCCTCACAAAGCACACATCTTTGGGAGACGTGAGTTCACGTTACTGCCGGCACGACGTTGCACTCAGGAACCGCACAAGGCAAAGCCGGCTGACCGGAGTCTGTTTCAGCACCCAAGCTCTTGCCTGTGGCTGGCTGTGTTTCAGAAAGCACTGCAGGGAAGTTTCCAGGCTCAAGCCAAAACCACTGTGGATACAACTGCTTACCTGACCAGCTCTTGTGCTCAGCTCAAGGCAGAAGTTAGTGTGCTGCAACCTGTTTTGTTGTAGTTATCCAGGAGTTAAAGCAGCACCGCTGCAAATCTTAACAAAGATTCTCTTCTTAAGGATCAGTTTTATAACAAGTGAAATGCATTTTTCAGACAAACTAAACTAACAGGTTGCAGGCTGTGCTAAATCTCAGTGAAGCTATGATCAGTAAGGCCTTAAATACCTCATATTTAACTTCAATACTGCAAATGCCATGTGTTGTTTTAAAAAGGGTCTTGAGGACACAGCCCTGGAATCTCAAGTACAAGTTCAGGTGTTGTTTCCCATTAGCTCCTACACGCTCACACACTGCGGTAATACAAAGAGGGAAAGTCCTGCGGGAGCCATGCTGTGCAGTTGAACTCACCTTGCATGCAAGGACCACGCTGCCTCTCTGCCAGCCTTCCTCAGTGCTTCCTGCCAAACCGAGCTCATTTCTAATCACTGAAGGAAAGAAAACAACGTTAGAAAGATGCCTGCCGTTTCCTATCATACCATACAACAAGGGAAAAACATTAATAGTACATACACAGTTTTATTTTGATAAAAATGTTCCATTATTGAAAACTTCAATCAGAAGTAATCACAAAAAGATAAGCATAAGCCATCCACCACTAAGAGTTTTGTTAACCTCCCTTCATACAATGAAGAGAGACATAAAAGGAAGTTTTTGTGGCTTGCAGCAGCTCAAGCTGTCACAGGCAAATAAGTCCCATCTCCTGTGTATGTGGTTTCCCTTTGGTTGGACTTCTGAAATATCTCCCTGAAGAGCAGTGCTACACTGCAAGGAATCACCCTCTCCAATGCTGTTTTATCAGTCAGCTGATTAAAAACAAGTCCTACTTTCGGAAACAGCTCGGCGTAGCTGCACCCAGTTGAGCACAGTGAGAGATTTCTGCTACCAGAGAACTGGGCTCTTCACTTCCCAATGTCCCCATGTGACACCCTGTAACAGGGAGGCTCTTAGGTCTTTCTCCAGCACCCATGAGGAAGGAAGCTCTGTGTGCTACTTACCAAGGACCTGGCTGCTCTGAACAAATCATCCCCCTCGTCCCTAGCACAGCACAGATTGCTTCACGACTGGGACTCTGCAAAAAGAATCCAGACATAAAACACTGCACTTACAAAGTCAAAGTTCTGTAGTACCACAGAGTTAAAGGAATCCCTCAGTGCTGGCCCTGCAGAACTCTGCTCGCCTGTTCACCCACAGCGTTTGACTTTCTCAAAGGCAGAAGGATGACGCAGCACTTCAGACATCAGACTGAATGGCAGGCTGCAAGAATTTATGCCCGGTTCCCAACCCCAGGGCCACTGCGGGTGGGTGGCTCCCATCCCCAAGGACAGGTCGGGCAGGGTGCGGGATGGGGCTGTGCCAGGCACCCAGTGCCTGCCTGCTGCTGAGCTTAGAGCCCTCTTCTCTCTCCCCCTCTCCGGGTTTCTGCAAGGAGCCAGGCCTCTATCACCAGGCATAGAGGGACAATGGTCAGATCATCACAGTGCTTTTAGCAGGGCAACTGTAGTACCCCACTGTAACAAAGCCCAGCAGGTATCTCTTGCTTCCTTGGACAGTTCAGACGTAGCAGTCGCACAGTTTTCTGTGCTGATGGGAAAAAAAGGGAAGTTTAATGTTTATTATAAATGTTGCAGAATAGGGATAGAAATGCTGGGAAGTGTTCAACACAAGTTCTCCCTGTGACCAACAAAAAAAAAATAGCAATGGGACTTTTAGAACTACCCAAAAGCACACACTGCAGAGACATCCAACAACTGCTTATGCATACCAGCTGGATGCACAACTACACTTAGCAGAAGTTCTCAACCTTCCAAAAAACGGCATGCGATTGTTTTACTCCTTCTAAAGAGAACTGAAACATTAAATACAAAGGGAACCAAATCACCCTCTATTTCCAGCTGAGTGCCTTTTCCCAAACTCAGGTAGAAGCACAGCAGAGCATGCTGCTCAGACCACGGGGTGAGCTGAGCAATGCTCGCCCAGAAGGCAAACCTGCAGCACCTGGGCAGCCAGACTTCCGTGCTGCATCTCATGGCAGCAAAGTTCAGGTCCTCCATGAGATCCAGCAACGAGACAGGGCACACCCAGCCTGCTTTCCCTCTGCCCAGCAAGGCAAGACCTCGTGCTCTGGGACACGAGATGTGATGCTCGCATATATTCTGCCCTCCTCCCTCGCGGTGCTTGCTGCTGGAGGAGATAAGTGCTGCAGGTTAGGAAGGGCTGGATGCTGGAGACAAGCCGCTGCTGAGCAGGATTAGCATGGCAGTGAAAGTTTTCTCCTTATCTCCCTTACGGTACTCGCTGGAATTTCAAAGCCTTCCCCCCTACTGTGGCTGGAACTGATTAACTGCAGCAGGCGTCTAAGCCGGTCTGCAGCTGAATGGGGCGACAGTGCAGGCTGGGGGAGCGCTTTCCTTCCTATCTCCCTTTTGAGAGCCAGGCGTGACCATCAGCTTATCCTAAACGGCTTTTCAGTAAGAGGATGGCTGATGGAGCAAGCAGAGGCAAAGGAAGGAACCTTTTGGTCAAAATAGCAGTAATTCAGAAAACAATAGTCAGGCAGCAAGTGCAGCTCTCGGCAGCCACAAGGTTAGGTTTCATCCAGGAAAAGCGTCGTTGGAGGTATGGAGTGCTGTGTGCATGGTAGCTCTGTCCTGAAAGGCTCACTTTCCATAGCACAGCAGCGGGTTGGGTTCAGCTGGGAGACAGCCTGAAGGTGAGGTGAGGAAGACGTTGGAAGCTTCTTACAGTCTCGCTTAATGTCGCTGCTTGCCCAAGCAGCTACAGAAGAAACGGCAGGAAGAACCTAAAGCTACTGAGCTTCCCAGGAGTCCCGCTTGCAGGAAGCCTGGCCAAAGCTGCGGGAACCCAACTGCCGGAGTCACAGAGGGGCGCCTCCTTCAGGGGAGAGAGTAGCCGATGGCTGCGGAGATCTGGAACTCCTCAAGAACCCAGACCCGAGTGCAAATGATGCTCAAACGGGCGAATGGAGACACGACGTAGTAAATGGATGTTACGTTTTCAGCACGGGTGTAGAGCAGTTTCCTCGAGCAGCGTGCAAAGGAAAGCATGTTCGAGTCCCCTCTCAGCAAAGCTCAGAGCACCGCGAGCGTCGGCAAAACCCCATACGCGTCAGCTGCCGCCCCAGAGCCGGTGGAGACGCCAGGAGGACACGCGTGGGGCGCTCGCCGAAAGCGGGAAAGGGCAAGGCCCGGGGGGCCCGAGGAGGGGGCCGCCGTCAGGTACCTGCGGCAACACCAGGCTGCCGTGGGGTGAGCTCAACAGAAGGGCCGCTTTCCGATCACACGCACCGCGGCACGAGGCGACGCAGCCCCGCGCCCGCAGCCCCAGCAGCGAGGAGCCGAGCAGGCGGCCGGCAGGGCGGGGCGCGGCCGCATACCCCGCCGCCGTGGCATTCCCCGTAGCCCTCCCGCACCTGGCGGCAAGGCAGAGCAGGGCAGGGCAGGGCCGGCTCGAAGAAGAGCCGCCGGCGAGGCGGGGGATCGCAGCGAGGTGGGCAGAGCGGCCGCAGGCTCGGAACGCCGCTTCGTTAACGGAGCGATACCAATCTCTATAGTTTCCGCTTTTTATTACTATATTTAGAAACCCCATTCCGACTCCCACCTCCCGAACCGCGAGGAAGCACGAGCTGCCGCTCAGCTCCCCGCGATTCCCGGCGCGGCTTACCGGGCACAGCCGCACCCCGCCGGGCGCTGGATCGGGTCAGCCCTCCCCGGCCGCTGGGGGCGAACCTCGCGGCTCTGGCAGCCCTCGCCCCGCCGCCGCCCGTCCCGGCTCCCTCCGCAGGAGCTCGGCGCTCCCCCCCGGCCCCGCTCTCAGCGCCCCGCGGCGCTCCGGGACCCGCCCGCAGCTCGGCGCCGGTCCGCCCCGCGCACACCCCACGGGCGCAGGGAGCGCCCCGCGGCCACCTGCCGGCGGGCGGCGGGCAGGGAGGCGGCGGCGCGGCCCCGCCCCTCGGTGGGTGCGGGCACCTCCCCGCCTCCGGCTCTGCCCGGCCCGGGATGAGCGCGGGGCAACGCGGCATCCGTGCGCGGCCGGGCCCGGTAGGGATGCGCGGGCTGGGGAGAGCCGGGTGTGACCGCACGCAGCCCCCAGCTCGGCCCGTCTCGGGCCGCGGGCTCTACCGCTTCACGCCCTCTCTGTTTCTCCCTGTGTTTTTAACCCGAGTACGTAAGCTGCGTTAAACGGGGCTGTATTAAGACAGCGCTGAAGGACCTGGGGAGCCGGCAGCCCCCTCCAACCGGCCCGCAGCCACACGGTGTCCCGTCCCCCCCCCCCCCCAACTCCATCTGTGCCCGCAGCCATGCACCGACCCGACGGGTTGGAAACAGGTGAGTGGTCTGAACGCGGAGATTCTGAAGAGCTCACACAGGCAGCGACCGCAACCCCCAGTGGCCAAAGCTCCCACCCGGCACGGCCTGCCTGCCTGCCCTGAGCTGCGGGGTACGATAACCAGAACGCAGAACGGGTGTTAGAACAGTTACACGTCTCCATGCAGCACAGGTTTTAGTCAATTGAAGGCGACAGCTCATAGAAACTTTGGTTTCAACATGTGCTAGCTGCTCATCTGCAAATTGAAATAAGATCTGGGAAATCTGTCTAGATCAAGCTTAGGAATGTTTCAAATAAAAGTTAATTCACAACTTGAGTATTGGTTGCTTGAGAAAACCCATAGTACTTTCAATAAATTATGTCATACCACATCTCATTTAAATACTATTGAAAATCCCACATTTAGAAGACAAGCCGGTGTTGTAGGGAGGAACAGGGATGAAAAAGTTAACAAAAACCATTAAGTTAGAGCATATTGATGCTTTTGTCCTCTTTTCTGCTACGTAAGGCCTGAGACTGCTTCCCTCTCCCCTCTTCCCTCCCTTTCAGTCAGAAACCAAGGCCTGCCTGAAACAAACCTTGCCTCCATCATTTTTATATGATGGAGGCATAGTATGATTTATATTTTTATATATGTCTTAGTAACAACCACTGATAAGATGACTGCTAAGAACTGAAAAGCACAGCTATCTGACTTAGGTTCTACCTTTGGTAGTGCTTTTGTCACAGCTAACAGATGCTGAGGTGAAAGCTGGCCTAAGGGAAAAGACTTCAGGACTGAAGGATGGCACCAAGCAGCCTTTTACACACAGGACATAAAAACTACAAGAGGAAGGCAGAGATTCACTGCCGTTAGCATTTCTAGTCACACCAGAAATAGGAGCTTGGCAGGTTGGGATGCTTTTGTAATGTAAAACCTCATTCAATAAGCACTGTGTGCTCCAGACACAACCACACACCACTAAAGGAAATAATGTTTTCAAGAGAAAAAAATTACTGACAATTCAAGACTATTTTCATGTCTTGTGTCACATACCAAGTAGTTTCATTGTATTGGACTCTCTCTGAGACTATAACATCATAAAAACCTAATGGTTCCCTGATGCTCCTGTAGCTGTTTGCCATGGGGAACACAGTGCTGGCTGCTTGGGGCTCTCTGGATTGCAAAGGGAGCTTAGGGGCACATGCCCTTAAGGAAAGGCAGAGCAAAGGCTTTTGAACAACTCAGAAGAAGCCAAAATAGTTTTCAAAATAATTCTGTGAATTAATTCTCATTCAAAATGGCAACATGTTTGAAAGGGGGGAACTTCTTCCAATGGAAAGTTGTCAAGCACTTCAATTAACAGAGAGTCGTTGGTGACAGTCCCTGACCAGAGAAGTCAACTGTCTCAAACACCAGCCTCCATCTTGGTGCCATGGCAATGCAGAGGCATCTTCTCCCTTATTTTTAAGAACATTTTCTAAATGCTGACTCTGTCAGCAGTGTATGTAGATGCCAAGTGCTCAAACATCACATTCACCATGAAGGAAAACCAAAAGCACAGGGATAAATACACCCTAGGAGCCGAGGGAAAAAGGCAGCAATACCTTTTGCCTTTGTGTCTGTATGAAGCAGGAGGTGACGTTTGCAGCAGCTCTGAGCCTGACCATTGGTTATCATGAGAGGTGGTGGGATGCTTGGTGTCAGCCTTCCACTGTCCTGCAGCTCGGTGTGTTTGGAGGCAGCCTGTGCAGTCCAGTACAGTCAGGCACACACCATCTTCACCCTGCAGCCTCTGCTAGAAAACAAAGCAGGGAAACAGAAAATATCAAATATTAGTATTTTTTTTTGCTAATAAGGCAGTGTACCAGCCAGAGACATAGTCCTGATTTATATGCAAGACTTTTTTTTCTCATTTGCTCCACTTCTGAGCCCAGTAACACAATGCAGGCCTGCAGCATGGCAAGGAGATTAACTGAGCATGAGGCATTAGAATATTGCAAAGAGGATCAAAAGAGATTTGTGGCTGAAAAGCCACACACCAGACTTACAGTCAGCTGAGAAGCTGGGCAGACAGAAAGTGGGTAAATCACTTAAATTTAGAGATCTTCTAAAATAAATCCAAACGTTGGGGTATGCGCTGCAGTGTGTCACATCAGCCCTCCCTGTGACATGAAGCTGCACACAACACCAGCTTCCTTCAAAATGGAAAGTAGCTTTGTGACAATCAAATATTACCCAGCAAAAAAGCAAAGTCACAGTAAACATGGCCACGGATGTGCCAAAACCTGAGAGCCCTGAGACAGCAACAGACAAAGCAGCAGCCTTGCATCATTTGCCACACAATAGTAAGTACTACAGAGAAATGGAAGTACCCGATCTTCTCACAGCATTCCCTTCTCCAAAGCAAAAACCACTACCAGGATTCCCAGGACAAAAGAGTTTGAAATAGAATTCAAAATAGGAAATTACATCTCGACTGAGATAAAAGCATACTTCACTACTGCAGCCAAAGCCGTGGATCAGCAATGACATGCCAAGTCCCTGCTCCTCCCAATCCTCTAGCAGCTCTGGACACTGACATACTTAAAACAGAGAAGTAATGTGTTTCAGAGGATTATCATACCAACATCTGTACTCAACCTTCAAATTTTCACACTGAGATAAACCCTCACTACAAACAACAAACAAAGAACAAGTATAAGTACAGAAAACAAAGAGCAAATACAGAATGAGAACAGATTTTGTACTGTCTGGTACCTAGCTGGGATGGAGGAGACTGCGGTCACATGCAGGGTGCTGCGTTTTGGATTCGTAGCTACAGCAGTGTCAGTAACTCACCAGCAGGCAGGAGGCTGGGAGAGGACAGCCCAAGGGCCCCAGCTGTACTGTGCCATCCAACCCAAACAGCACACCAATGGAACAGGCGGGCAAACGCCCTCCTTCAGAGCACAGGGCGAATGGATTTGCAAATAGGAAATGCCTTAAAAAAAATGATGCCTTAAAAAGAAGCTGGGGAAGACATTTGCTCATTAGGGCACAGACAGAGGACTGAAGGAGGAGAGTGCTATGGAAGCATCCCTCAGGGAGGTGTATGGGTGGCTGGATCAGAGCTACTGCTGCAGAGGATGGTTTCATTCTCTTAGATTGCCTTGTTGGCTGACATCAAGCCCTGTATACATTCTCTCCTACACCAAGAGTACCTTTTGCAGTGCAAATGTCAAATAGATTCCTTTATAAAGCCACAGAATGTCTTTTACTGACACCAAAGTGGAAAGATAAATTTAAAATTCATTTTCAGAAGAGTCGAGTTTACTAAGAACTGGCATCATGATTACTTTACATAATAAATGTTGTTATCTGCAGATATTATCCAATATCGAAACAATTGAGCTCATCTTATCTGAGGCTACTGTCCCATATTTTGTATCCTTTGCACTATATCAAGAGGTTTTCAGTTGCATGATCTTAAAATCAGAATTCTTGCACCAAGTGAAATTTTTGAGAGTAGACATTAAGCAGCAAGAGAAAAGATAATGTTAGGGGCATAAAATGAAATATACAACTGCACACAGATTAAACAAGATATTTTTCTGGGGGCACATATAGAAATACTACCTATCACCACATGGCAAAGAAGAAAATAAGAAAATCGATTTCATGTGTGGTATATATAAGTCCCCTAACTGTGCAGTTTGGTTTCAGGAGGAAAAAATAACCTTTAGCACGGTACAAGTGATTGCTCTTTGGGGAAAAAGTATCTTGAGGAATCACGAGCATGAAAGAGCAATTCAGTTGAAATAAAGGGTAGTTATGGACAGCTTGTGTTACGGTTACTCTCTACTGAGGGGTTCAACAGAGCATGAGTACTTGGCTCAGGAGCCCATTTTTTGGATATGACCCAGAGTTCTGCTTTTAAATCTCAGTTTGCCCAATTTCCAGTTAATTTTGTGATATCCAGTTCTACAGCAGACATGAACATTTTGTGGAGTGAACACTGGGTCAGGATAAAGCTGGGGTTAAGACCTGAGCTGCTGTGTTCGGTGACAGGGGCTCCTTTACTGAGCCAGGGCTTGAGCATGTCTGTCAGGAAGTGTCAGACATCCTGTATCACTGTGGGATGGAGTCCCAAGCCTGAACAAGGAAACACATACACATACATATAGTTCTGTACACAGATAATATGCAAAATACAAATAACAACTAATGCCTTTTAAACCTAAGTGTTGTCTTTCACATAGTTTCAGCACATTCATAAACGGTGAAGTTTTCTGATTTGTAAATGTACTTAACATAGGAATGATAATACAATCTCCAAGACACAAACAGATCGTAAAAAATCCAGCAAGGCCATTCAAACCCCGGTGGTCTGCCAACAACCCCACAGTTTAATGTTGGAAATTAACTCCTATTAACTGGAATAATTCTTAGTTCTTCTTTTAGCTCTCCCTCCATCTCCTCCCCCACAAGTCAGAAGTCAGCTCTTTGATGTCTGAATCTGATGCTGTTCGTCCCACATAGTTCCAAGTTCAAGACCCCACTGGTGGGCTGCACAGCATCTTACTTGCTGGAAAAAGTTGGTCAAAGTCCTGACTGCCATCAGAGGCTAAGTCTCTGGGTGCAATTTCCACTGCTAACTTGTGTCACTTAGCACCAAAACAAGCCTACATTTAGTGAATGAAAGGAGTCATTCCAGGAGCTCAGCAAAGAGCCCAAACACACACAGTGCGACAAATTCTTTTCAGCAAGCGTCAACAGTACAGACAGACAGACACATTATTTCAAGGCTCAGTTCTCCTGAATCAGAGAGAATGAAATGGAATGAATTGCTTCAGCCAAACAAGAGTATTTAGTATTTATATCTATCTCATCTATGAGCAACATCACATAATATCAGCAATTAAATACCAGCTTAATTTCTCCAACCGCTGCCACATGTCTCTGCTTATGTAGCTACTTAGTGGCTTGCAAAGGTCTCATCCCTGCAGCATCTTAGCACACCACTGATTCTGTTCTCAAAACTGTCCTCCAAGTGGAAAATTATATTTTCTTTTTAATGGTTGAGAGAGGAGGGACAACAAAGCGGAACAGGGGGGGAAATCTGCAAAACACATAGGCTGCAGCCTGTGCATACACAGAGTGCTGAACTGGACAAGCAGGGGTACCACTGCTTTTATCTATAAAATAACAGAGTATTTAACAATTACTCCTTTTATGTGGATTTGTTCATGTCTCACACAGTCTGGAGAACAGAACCAGAAAATCATGCTTTCATTTTTTCCTAACTGGTACTAGCAGTAATACAATGAAGCAGTGAGTTTACGTCTGTACAAGTGAATAACAAAATTCTCACTGACATATTAGTCAAGACCCACGCTTTAAGACTCCTAAGCCAAATAACCTTTCCTCATTGTCCAATCTGAACACCTCTGAGCTTTGTTAGTCAGCATTTTCTATGCTGAAACATTGATCCTAGACAGCTGCAACACGCTTACATTTGCGAACAACTTGTTACTCATTTTTCTATTGGCATGATTTTAATTAAGGGTTTTGTAATTTTCTTTCTAAACTATTTGGACAGAATTCGTTTAAAGTATGCTGGATAGAAAGCTGCTGTAAATAAAAATACTATTTAATGAAGATGGATTGATAAATTTACTTCCAAGATTCTGTGCACACTCATTATTCAAGCAACTTGTTCCAAATACATCAACAGTGGCAAAAACTTAATGACCTGTACTAGTGAATGTAATGTATTATTGCATGGATACCACATCATGCTGTCACAATATCTGATTTTCAGGTGATTACAGTTAAGTGGAGAATATTCCTCAACTTTTTATTAAAGGGAGGAAAGAATGAGAAACATTTCTGTTTGGAAAGATGCTTGTTTGGAAATGATCGCCAAATGTGAGCCCTCCCAGGAGAGGGGAGGGAAAATCTCTGCTGTCTCTTTGCAAAAGCAGCCTGTGAGCCACGTTCATTATCCTGGCCGAAATTTGTAAGATGGAAGATTTACTTCAGTGCTACCAGAAGTTTCAAGTTTCATATGTGTTCTTCGACTAATTTAAGGTTCGGTTCTGCTTTGAACATTATGCACCAGTACCTGGCACTGTGCTGGAGCATTTCCATTTAGGAAATTCTCATTGAAAGAGGGTTCTGCTTGATGCAAAAAGGGCACTAGGGTTTGAAGACAAGAGCTGATGTCTGTTCAGATTTGACCCGCAGCCTTTGAAAGTCTATAAAGCCCTTCAAATCAATGGATTTCATTATTTCAGTACTTCTGGATCAGGCTACCTTTGGAATATGTTGCCTTTTGTGATATCCTAAGGCTCTATATGTCTGCTTGTTGAAACAGAGTTGCACAAAAGATTTGGTTTCTTCAGTCAGCACTATAACTGCTTTTGAGTTTTCATCATGCTTCATATTTAGTATGATTACACAGTCTTTGAAAGAAAGGTGCTTTACATTCTCTGCATTTGACTCTGTCTGTATTGCAGGCATGAATTAAGACTTTAGTCAAAAGATGTTTGCATCCCTTTGGATATTGCTACAGCTTCTTTCTTCTCCCTAGCAGAAAACTAGTAATCAGATTTTAATGCTTTTTTCCCCTTGCCTATGGATTTCATGGTGGTAGACATGTTTACAAGGGCTTGTCAGTGAACTTCCTAATGCAAGTCAGTACAACAGCATCCATTACCTCCACTCCCAAAACATAGACCCCAAAGACTCAGAGCTACAATATTCTCTAGAAGGCTCTTTGAAAATTCTCAACCACTTTTTAGAGTCATCCCTGAGTGCTCGTCAAATGAACAAAGCCTGTTTGAGCTTCTTTTTTTTCCCCCTTTTTCCTTATATACACTTTCACCGCTCTTGTGCATATAGGAAATGGAAAATAAACTGATTCTGACTTAGTCCCTGAAGTCTTTGCTACACGGCTGACAATACTAGAGGTGTTATTAAGTATAAACACCACCATGTAGTAGTAAAAACATCAGCTTTTTCTGATTTTACCTTGTAAGGAAATGTAGATTTAAGACCTAATGCAGAAAACCAATGTCTATGTGATACAACATCACATCTGAGAAATCTGGGTTTCTCATACACTGTTAAATTACATTTAAGGAATCTCACCAATCTCACCAGTAGAAGTGCTTACTATTGCAATTATCACCACAGTAAACTCACAGTATTTAAAGCAGTGCAGTATTTAAAACTATTGCGTACATATATTTTGAACTTAATATTCTACTTTTGAGGTAAACGTAATCTGCTTAGATGTGAGACACTTTCATCTCATGAAAAAAGCCAGAACCAGCCCCGAAACAAAACAGCTTGGTGTTCCCTTTAAGGTCTGAAGTTCTCACAATGTTTAACAGTGGCTAAACTGGAAATGATTCCTCAGTGATAGCTTCCTTCTGCCTGCCAGCCAGGCAGACTTGTAGAGCAAATAATTCAGCTGAGACTGTTGAATGTACAGTCAGTCAGAGGAAAGAATTGTTTGCATAGATTATAGGTTTTTATGTTTCTCATATATATTTACCTTATATATATATATATATATATATATATATTTAACACACATGTAAAGGAGAACAAGACTGCAAATAGCTCAATTAAAATTTTCTATCTCATGTGCAGGTATTTTTTTGAAATTTTCAAATACCTATGGACAGAATGAGTAAATAAAAGGCAACTGTAGTTTGTCTACACCTGTGTAATCAATACATTCCCTGAAATATCACAGACAATTACAGAGAATTGATGGCTATTCTATCTCAAAACAACAAAACCTTACATGACTGGAGTGGTTTTGGAAACTGAGGAGAATGGAAGCAAAAAGGATACAGAGCTGGATGAGCCTGCCTGAAGTTAAAGAAGTGGAGGTATTTATTATAGAAAAGAACACAATAAACTAGATCATGTTCTGATTGGGACAGAGATGTTTTCTACTTTGCATAGTAAAGGTAAAATAGATGGAATATAAAACAATAATACAATACAATATAATGGAAAGGAAGAAGTCCATAGTGATAACAAGGCGTCTTCAGGTAACACCTAATTAGACCTCAGAAGTTGGTGCCTTCAGAACAGATTCAGAACACCCAGGTTTACTATAATATGCAAAATGAAGTTTGGAAGGGCTATCTGGTCTCATGATTTCACACAGAATCCAAGCCTTAGCAGAGACTGCAGAGGAGATGTATGAAGCAGCAGACAATTCTGCAGGCTTACACAGTTTGAGGATTTTGTTCTGTGTTAGATACATAGGCGTTATCTCTGATTCACAGCCTCACCAGTCTTATTCTGCAAGCTTACCAGGCTTGTTTAAATTAGTATGGAAAAAAAAAAATCCAACAATCTAAATTCTTCAGTCTCGTCTGATTTCCTCATAGGGATGCAAAACCTGCTGTAGAGGCATATGACTATTCTGACACTCCTGAGAATTACACTGAGCTCCATCAGCTTTCTTATCAATTACCACTTGTTAAAAAGATTCCTGTTTAATTTTGGTTCTCTATTACAATACATGCTCTTCCTGAGACCATGAGTAGAATGGCAAAACAGGTTTTCAAAAACAAAACAAGCAGAAAAAAAACCACAAACCCAAACGGACATTATTATAGAGTCATTGCTACTATTGAATTTTTTGATCTGCAACTGATATTTCAACTTTACTGCTTAAGTAAGTTTGCCATGGGAAACGAATGAACTGGAGCAGATACAATAAAAATGATTGATTTTATTTGCCATGCCCAAAAACTGACCCAAACCCTTTTGTGATGAATCAAAAGCATGCACTTACCACAATAAAAGCGCTGGCAGCTCTGCGCAGCTCTTCCTGTCAGCACAAATCACACGTTAGATTGTGACTCCTCCGTAATTCAACACTGGCTGAAATCACGCAGCGTTGGTCCACTTGGGCAAGCTTCTTCCAGTTCCTTGCCTTTTCTGCTGCCTTTGTTACCCCTTGTAATTCTGCAGAAGAAAGAATGTGATAAAGGTTACCATAAAGCAATATCCTGATAGGAAATCTGACCTACCCCAAATTCAGATTTAAATATAATGCTTCAGGCTCAGCCCTGTATTGGTGGAAGAGAGATAAATATTCATTTACCGCTGCTGCAGCCTGGGAGAAGCAGAAAGCTACCACTCTCATGCTCAGTGAATATCACTTTAGAAAGAACTTCTTGTAGCAATTCTGTGTCCTAGAGCTGGTTCTCAAAGAGCAACTCTTCCCCAACAACCAGCTCCCACGAGTCAGCTCAGAAAGTTGGCTGGTTTACAGGAAATGATACCTTCTCTGGAAATACTCATAATGTAAACATTAGGAGTAGTTTAGGATTTAAATACTATATAATCTAATTGAAAGGAACATATCATGTTTGCCTGCATGAAGAAATTACGGAATGTGGTGGTGGCTGTCCCACTATCTAAAAACTAGATGGTCCTACTACATGAAAACTATGTTTTGATTAAATTCTCTCCAGAAAATCAAAACAAAATTGTGCTATGCACTGGTTGTTACTGCTACTATTAAGAATTCCTGTGAGTTTGTACGTGCAGCTCTTTGTCCTGTTTCACGAAGGGCTAACACAGCTCCAGGCTTCCATTCAAAGGCTTCTTGAAACAAAGAGCATCTTATCTGCTTGATAGAGCTTTCCAAGGTGCAATGCAAATAACATCCTTCCCATTGTCTTCTGGCTGTTTGTGTTCAGTATGACTCAAAGCACAAGCTACAAAACTGGCTATCAATTTTCCCCTTTCAGTTCCAATTTAGTAGTACTGAATGCCTGTACGATAAGTCTAAAATTAACCTTTATATAGTAATGGCCAGATAATAGTGTTAATTTCACTGATGATTGACGAACTATTTTTATGTTGCTTGTTAAATACAACATCCTGAAAGAGGACTAATAATAAGTTGTTCCGAAAATAATGCCTCCTATTTATTTCTATAGAGACTACAACAGATGCAAAGAGCACAGTAACACTCTCTGACAGTGCAAATTCTCAGCTATAAAACATTATTTTTCAACAGTCACCACCAGTAGGTGCATGCTCTCAAGCTGCCCCTCTGCTGCCATCTGCTGCACAGCAACAAAACGTAACATTGGCAGCAAGGTTCAGTCCCTACTGCCGTACCACCAACATCCACCCCTAACTTCAAGGACCAGCGTAATGAAACAGGAGGCAGTACTTTCAGAACAGCCCTTGTAAGTTTCATATAATTCCAAATCCATGTTGAAATAACTATTTCTTATCATTTTTATAGGCCTTTTTTCCTTTATGAAATGCATACCAGTTCTCATGTAGCACAGCTGAAAGAAGTAATGTTAATGTTGCTCTAGCTAACAGGAAGGGGTATAAATGAAGGAAATCTCTTTTATTACATCAAACAGTGAAGTATCCACTCCACTCCAAATATCCTGGCACAAAGCTCACTGGGCATAAAACAAGCTTTGTGCACTTACCACAAAATCAGCAGTACACAAACAACTCTATTAATCTGGGTATCCTAGAATATTATTTATATTAACTACTCCAGATCTACTCACAAAAAGCCCTTCTGTAAGTTAACACATACAGCATGCCTATTTTGGTTACCATCATGACAGCACAACTTAACACAGAGCTCTGGAGGAACACTAACTGTTGTATTTCAGGTCTGTTATATGAATTATGTTTTGTAAGCATCCTTTCAATTATGTGAATAGTTGATGAAGAATATGAGATGTTCTCATCATTTCCATGAGTCCAGGGTACATGTCCACTCAGGCAATGACAGGCAGCTATTTGGTACCAAGTGTTGAGTCCTAAGTTGGTGTATTTATCTGCAGAATGGTTAAGGTGTTTTGAAAGTCTATTACTGAAGGTAGAAAAAAAAAACCAAACCCAAATCAGTCAATTTCTTTGTGGTTAATCCTTATTTCTCATCAGCCACTTGGCTTGTGCTGCAAATTAGGGGGCTTGATGAGAAAGAAGAGCTTGCACGTGGCAAGAAAAAAACATGTAAATTTTTAAAGCAGCAGCCTTTATTGTGAGAAATTGGACATGTCTGTGAAAGGAGCCAGAGACAGTTCCCAAGAGAAAGGGGCAGGACAGCTAATGCTCTAACCAGTGCAGATTATTTTCCTTGAGTTGGTGCTCTTAAGGGAAGCTTCATAACGGAGCTCATAAATAAGAAACATCTTTATTACATCAACAGGAAACAAGCAACGAGGAAGAAAACATTTATAAAAGGAGAGACAGTAAAAGCTGAGTTTTTATACTTATAGAGTAGACAACACTTAAAATATTCTACAAATAATGTCATAAGACCTCTGGAGTTGCGTTAACTTTTGAAACATTTATGTTTACAACAGCTAAACCAAAGTAATACAGATGAAAGCCTGAGGCTTTACCAGCCAACTTCTCTGGTAGATATGCCAGCAGCCAGGACAGAACTCTGCAGAGCATTCTGAGTGTCTACTTGAATATAAAATGACTGCACTGCATTGCTATGGACAGCATTACAGCATGACTTGTTATGTTCCATTCAAAAAGAGTTCTGTGAATGCATTGCCACCACAGATGCACAATGCTGGAGCAATGTGCCGGGCCTGCAATCACAGAAAGCTCTTTTATTTTAACCACTAGAATTTGGCACATGTGTACACATTCACCCTCTGAAGTTGTAGAACGTTTGCAAGACTTCATTTCAAAGCCAGCTTTTCCATTTGAAAAAAAAAAAAAAAAAGTGAAAACTGATTTCACCACTGCTTATCATGCTGCTGTGGTTATGCTTATCATCTGTAGGCAAGGGGGTACCAGGCCTTGCAGGCTGGCCCCATTCTGCCTACACCTGAGTTCAGCAGAGACAAAGCCATGGAGTGAAGCTGTAGCAGAGGCAGAGCACAAACACAGGGAGATCTGGCAGAGAATAGCTCGAGGTGGACCCACAGTCATCTTATATGAAGCCATCTTTAGATCAGATGGGTTAATTCATTCAGTTGTGGCAATGGGCAAAGATTAAGGACAGTCACCACTGCTGCATTTGCAATTGCAAAACTGCGTTTTCCTGGATTTGTTAGAACATCTCATAAGTTTTAACTTCTCGTGTACCAGGGAAAAGGAGAAGAGATGAGACAGGCAAGGGGAAAAAGAAGAGGGAAAGGAAGAAGAGGGAAAACAGGGAAAAGAGTGGGAAAAAAAAGAAAAAACTTCAGACTCGTAGCAGTCTGGGTCTCCACGCCCCAGTGGGTGCCATTCCCGCAGAGCCCAGCAGAGGACAGGCCGCACACAGCAAACGACAGATTGCCAGCCCCAAAATCCCTACTTCACTTCAGGGAGGAGAGTTGTTACCGTTAGAGATAACAAAATGAAGGGCTTTGGTGCTTCATATGCCTTGGTTGTGCAGAAGGGAAACTCTTTCCCGTCCAGCACCGGCTCCTCATAGGAACAGCACGTTTCCCAGCACACGGTGGCCGTGCTCCCAGCAGAGTGCTAGCATCTCGCTGGGATGGCTCCGACTTCACACCTCCCAGGCTGATAATGACAATCCCACCACCACCTGCAGGTGGTGCAAGGCTGCAAGGATTTCATGGTTTTCCTCAATGCCCAGAGATAACTTCCCCTACTTGTTAGATGGCACTGAAAGCTGCCTTGGACAATGACTGAACAGGCACATGGATTTCAATCGCACGCCTGCACCTGGGGTCATGCTGGTACCATTCCCTCCATTGCTCTGTGACTTAGGCCTGGTTTTCCTCAACTGTTTCAGTAAACACTGAATATTTATGTCAGAAATTCTGCGTAGAAGTATAAAAGATTCAAGGCTAAAGAGAAGAGAGCATCTTGTTACAGGGAGGGAGCCTTTAGAAATAAACAGATGTTTAACAGGGCACTACTGTAGGATTTAAGACTGATAAACATCAAAGTGAAGGCTGCAGAATAAAAAAATGAAAACAAAACAAAACTGGAAGCATTTATTATAATTGCATCCTCCCTTAAATGTTTTTAAGAAGTCCAATGGGAATACATTTCCTTATCTGCTCGTAAAGTTCATTTATATCAGCATATCTGGTCAGTTCTAGAGCAATGATGTGAATTAATGAGAACTGGAATACGCAGAAGAGAAAAACAAAACAGGAACATTCTAGCCCTGCACAAGCATACAGCCCTAACCCACAGTCAGGAGAAGACAGTGAGAAGAGAAAGCTGTCAGACACCAGCTGAAGGAGACCCGATGTCATTTCCCTAAACTGCACTAAATTCAGCAGCAGCTCCTAGGCAAGCTGAGAGGTACATCAAAGGCAAACATTGCTGCAGCACCAGTTTCCCACCCATTTCATCTACTGCATACTTACATACCACTGCTGGTGAGGAAGTCCTGAGCAGGTAGGACTCCCTACCTCTCTAAGCTCCTGAAGCAAGGAAATCATCTGCCAGGCAGAGTGAAGTTTTGCCTTGGTACTTAAAACGCAGATGCAGACCCAAGCATGCCTTGAAAGGAGGCTCTGCAAAATCCCAGACGCATGAACGTGTTGGTTTCCCTGAGAAAACAATGGGAGAGCAGGAATTGAGGAGCTGCAGCAGATCCCATTCAGATGCCAGCGCATCATGGCATCTGTACCCAGCACCACGCTCTTACACGAATCCTGCTATTACCCAGAACTCAAAACTGGTGAAAACAAAATGAACTTGCTACTTTCCTTTTTGTAAGTCAAAGGAATTAAATATCCATACCATCAAGTAGCTGATGTAGCAGAATGTTTAGGTTATATATGACCACTTCTGCAGGAAAACATACAGACAAGGACAAACTATTCTAGGGTTCTTGTTACCAAGATTTCTTCCTATGTAAAAGATTTCATATTTTAGTTGATGGTAATAAGTACAATTAAAAGTGTGGTTATTTTTGCCTTATGGTAGCTGCAGCTTTAACTTGCATAATACAATTTTGATGTTTTTACAGTTTTTTTTTGTTATTGTGATACTTGTTTCATTAGACACTATCTCATAGGCACTGTCAAGTTCAGTAAAATGCTCTCCCTTACATTTCGGGTGTCTGAGAGAAAGCTCCTGGTGAGTTAGAACAGTTGGGCTCATACCTCATACTTAAGCACTTCAGATACCTCAACTCCACTGCATTTCACTGTATGCCTAATTTTTCCTATTTAGTAGTAACTGTTCTAACCAAAATTATTTCATAACCATTACACACAGCTATAATAGCAAATAAGTGAGAAATGAATCTAGTAAAAAATATTTTAAATGGATTTTCTCTTCTTTTTGATACTTTATTCTAGAAGCAGGAGGTTGGACTACGTGATTTCTAGAGGTCCCTTCTTACACCTGCAATTCTGTGGTTCTAAAAAGTGATACAAGGTGACTGAATGGTTATCATACCCAGACGTCCAGGAGCTTCCTTACAATATTTGTTTCAAATTAGGGGTGGAATCCAACTGGTTCTGAAGTAGAACAAAAATCATTGTGAGCAACAAGTACATGTTTACATTGTGCATTTAATAACACAATAAAATTACAAAGTGCATTTAATAATAATCGAGTTATTATTCAAGTTCTACCTTTTGCAGTAAGCCAATTATGGGAATAATTTCATTCAATTTAAATGACAGAAAAATGAGGAGTGAATTTCTTGTCTTTTATTCGGTAAAGAAATGTTTGACAATCTAGCCTACAACAGAATGAAGATGCCTGGTTTCTGGCACGGTTATAACCTACATCCTTCTCCTCCCCTGTCATGAGCTTCTTCATACTCTCGTAACTCCTTCTCAGAAATGGTCTGGTTCCCCTTCATTGCCATTCGGTCCACCCCCGTAACAGGCTCAAATCCCATCCTGTCCTAACTATCTTTTCTGGGTTGCTGGCCAGGCAAGGGATGACACAGTGTAGATGGTCCAGAGCTATCAGTGCACTGACTAATGACTAAGCACATGCTGACTGGCTAATTAAAGGCTGCCAAAAAGGATGGGTAATGGTTGGGCTCTGCTTGCCTTCTCCTCAGGGAGGGCATTAGTAATCTTCTTTTCCTCTACACAGTCACTGTTTTTCCATAAAACTCACAGTAACACAGCGTCTTCAAAACCTCTGTGTCAGTCATTTTGGGGTTTGGATATTTTTTTCTATTTTCTTTAGGTTTTCCAACGAGTATGAAAACTACTGGGGCAAAGCAGAAAGCCAAAAGGCAGCTGACAGTTAAACAAATGTGTGAGTTTTCTCCTTTGAAAGAGACACATGTTGCTTGATTTTGGGGGCCTGAGTCATGATCTTTGAATAGCCAGGGTTGGGAATACTGTTCACTATTGGCAGGCACAGCGGGTAGAATGACACAAATCCCAAAGATAATATTAAAATGCCATAAAGTTCAGTAAGATGTGCATTTCATTTTTAACTCTTTGGTTTTGCTGATGGTAACGTGCTGCTTATTTTTAAATCATTTTTGTAAAATAATTTTTTTGGGAAACTCTTCTATCTGGTTACTTTCCTTTCACTTATTATTTACTTTTGTCACCTACATCTGTAGTCAGCATTATCCTTCAATGCCACAATGAAAGTCATAAAGAAAAACCATTTCTGTGTGGCACTGTTAAAGACATTGAGTGTTTCAGTACCTCCTAATCAAATGCTATGCCTTAAGCTCTCTCCAAATTCTTGCAGTCTCATAGAAAAGAAACAACAACAAGAAAAGATGAAGACAAAGTTATTCTACTAACAACCTACAGGTATTCAGAGAATGTGCATCACCATGGTGGCTGAGAGAAAGCTCTGCCCTTGCTCAAAGCTCGCTGGCATTTTCAGGCATGACAAATAAAGGATTTACATCCTGCAGTCATGAACAAATGCATTATTGACGGAAAAAGAGTGGCTTTTTTTTTTCCTTCCACAATCGTTACACAACACTGACAGAAAATCATGCATTAGTTCACAACAAGCCACAGTCAGTGGAAGACCTTGAAGGAGGAGGAGGCCAGGTCTCGCACCAGGCAAGCAGCTGCACAGCACAAAGAAGAGACATGCTGGTAGAGGCGTTTCTCACCGGCCACTTCTCTCGTCCCTTCTCAAACATGATGAGTGGCTCCCAGCCAGTCTGCCAGAGCATTTAATGATTCTGATTTTAACGACTGCGTCAGTGTTCCTACCTGTTTATTGATGGATCATCATTCCCTTTGGAACTGAATCTACTGTGAAACTTGGCACTATTATTAAGGTTTCCACTTGGGGGTAGATTCCCTTTTATGCTCAGCTTTTTAGTCATTCTGATTAATATAAAATAGCTTTATTATGATATGCATCGTTATAATACATTAAAAAGAACACCACGACCCAAAACAAATAAAGAACCAACTAAAACCTTATGAATAGTCTGGAACTGGGTTAGCAACTTCTGAGATTCTTTATGTGAATCATCCTATCCACCATTCATAAAGATGTTTTTCCAGCACCTGTAGTGTACTGGCCTCTTAAAAGTGCAAGAATACTAAGAGTCTGTTTAAAACAGTATGCTGTGAACATGGCATTGCAAACTCAGATCTCTCCTAACTTGTAGTTCCAGTGAACCACGAGCCCCTTTATGTTTCCATACACTGAGAGCACTGACAGGAGCATCTTGCATCAAAATAAATGCTCAGAATATAAGCTATCAAAATGCTTGCTCTACACATGGATCTGACTGAAATGAGAACATCAAAGTTAGACCCTAAAGCTGCAACCTGGAACATGTGAGCACAGCACATTTATTGCTTGCATCAACTTTACACCATGGAAAGACAATCAGTTTAAATCGAATACTCAAGATTTATGAGCTGAATATTAGGCTCAGTTCTGTGCCATGCAGTGAATTTCTGTGCCCTGGAAAGGTAATGCAAAATAACACAAATGACTAGGCAGAAAAAGAGCTCTTGGATTGTTCTGTCAAGTAGCATTCTTCCTATACGAATGTATGCAAACAAATGCCCGTATTTGCCACGCTTTCAGGTGTACTCATTATGGAAAAGAAACAAAAAAAAAAAGTGAAAAACTGACAGCATGGTCCCAACTTAGGCAAACTGTGACATTTTGCATGAAATTCTGGGATTTGTGTTTGCTCTAACATATAGACCCCCAATTCCCCAAATGAAAATGAATTATTGTGGTTTTTTTTTTGCTAGCAGCATGTCTAGTCTCATCTACATTAATGTAAGATTTTACAAGCCATGACCTGTAATTATACAATGCTGTCTAGGTGTGTCTTATGCAGTAAGCATATTAAAATCATAATTATAAAAATATAACTGGGATATAGAAAACTTACATGCTTGAATAGAAAGCCAAACACACTATCACTTCAGTTGGCATAATACAGAGGGACCCTGAACTGAAGTAAAATAGGATATGAAAAATGAAGATTTACTGACAGAAGGAATTTAAACAGTTTATGTCATTTACAAATTTCAGTAACAATGGAAAAAGCAAGCTGGACTATTTCTGTGTAATATTACAGTTGAGTAGCTCATGATATTCCTTAAAAATACCTTTGTTACTGAAGGTCTCTTAGTATCTAATTTGCTGCCCAGGATTTTGCTGACAAGGCAAACTTTCTTTGCTTATTAAGTGTCTACACACTTCAGTAATTCATTTTGATATTAAAGGGTCAAATAGTTAGCCCTTACTTTTACTCATACATGTACAAAATCTTTATTCCTGCTTATCTAGTACTCATGAGAAACACCTATTACAGTTGACTGAAATTTGAACTGCTTAATACATTTAAACTGTTGCACAGCACAGATTCCTAATGTTTGCAGTGTATAATTACGTATTTTTTCCCCTCTTTTTTTCTTTTTTTTTTTTTTAAAGAAATCCCTCAGAATTTTACTTTAGATAGCACAAACTTTCAGTCAAAATAGTGACAGAATCCTAAAGCAACTCTAAAGAAAGCTCTGTCTCAATTCATAGTGCAGCTATGTGTTCAGTGTTTATTTAAGAATGATAGCGCTGTCTTCCAGCACTGCTGCCCATAGTACTTGGAAACATATCCTTTCAGTATGTGAAGACGTATCCTCTATGAAGCCACCAGATAAATCAGTTCACCCTTGGCTGTAACTAAATGCTGTCTAGTGACTTGTGATCGACAGGGCTTTAACCTCTGACAGCTAGATTCATTGTTGGGACAACAACCAATCGTCGGTTTTGACGACATGAGCCTAATCAAAGTTGGAGTATAAAAGCCCCCTTGGCATATATAAGGCACACCAGTGTGGCAAGCTGTCTCTCAGACTGCATTTGCTTTCACGGATCTGTTCAGAACTGAAAGAAAAAGGGAAAGAGGGACAGGGGAAAAAAAAAAAAAAAAAAAGGAAAAAAGCTGCAGTGACTGTAAGATCATGCAAAAGCTAGCAGTCTATGTTTATATTTACCTGTTCATGCAGATTTCAGTTGATCCGGTGGCTCTTGATGGCAGTAGTCAGCCCACAGAGAACGCTGAAAAAGACGGACTGTGCAATGCTTGTACGTGGAGACAGAACACTAAATCCTCCAGAATAGAAGCCATAAAAATTCAAATCCTCAGCAAACTGCGCCTGGAACAAGCACCTAACATTAGCAGGGACGTTATTAAACAGCTTATACCCAAAGCTCCTCCACTGCAGGAACTGATTGATCAGTATGACGTCCAGAGAGACGACAGTAGCGATGGCTCTTTGGAAGACGATGACTATCATGCCACAACCGAAACGATTATCACAATGCCTACGGAGTGTAAGTAATAACCCTGCTGCTTTCGTCTTGCTCCGCTCCTCCGAGAGTTGTCTCTGTGCTGTAGAGCCACACAACTCCTTCTCAGGCTCTCCCAACAGGCTGCTGGCTGGAGTCTGTCGGAGGGAGGGAGGAGAGTGTATTTCTAAAGAATTTGAGTCAGGTTCAAAGGACCGTGTTGCGAGCCTTTGTTTTACTGTTCATTTTTTCAGCTCCTTGTAATGTGTGCCCTGTAGCACACTTAGGATTTGCCTAAGTGTGTTTAGAAAGCAAAAGGACATCTGCAGTTGGCTCTGTTACGTGCAGCATTCAGGAAGTTCCCTATTGCAGATAGAAAGTGCAAGTGCAGCTAATAAGATAACTATATTTTCTGCATGACGTTCCACCTGCTACTGTGTTTAAAAGCCATAGCAGTGAGTAGAAATATAGCTTAGAGTAGGAGACCTACCTAACTACAGCATGTTAAAGCAAGTGTAAGCATAGAGTTAAATTCTTGCTTCTTTGCCACAGGCTAGCACCACCCACCTCCGAGTTAAAACTGTATATTTAAAGCAAACCTATGTGTAACAGATTTAAATGTTAAAATGTCCAAATTATAGTTATCAGCTCCAGTAGTGGTGCCAAGGAAGAATGAAGGCATTTACTGAATGAGCAGATTCTAAGTTATCTTCTGAGTGCTAAACATCTGCTACGGCTCCTCTCAAGTATCTTTTGCACAGCTAATACTATAGTATCTTATGTTCTTCATCAGCTGAAGTATTTGGCTATGGCAGCTGTTTTTTAAAATAACACTTAAGAATATGATGTCAAAAAGGAAAAAAGATGTCAGGACATATAAGGCAGGTTAGCAGTTACAGATATCATTACCATACGTATACTAGAATAATATCAGCTCCTGTAGCCAGCTAAAATGGACAAAAGATTAACTTTGTCTGAAGCCTTTTTTAACTTTGATAAGATGCATGCTTAACAGCAACACATTATTGCAGCCTTATCGCAGACTGTCAGCAGTTTTATTCTAGCCTATTATGTACAAAATTTCAAAACTATTTTAATTAAACCTCTATATAGTCACAATGACTGGGGAAAAGTCATTATGCTTTATTGCTCTATTTTCTTCTTTTTATAAAAAGCATTTGAACTACAACACATACGCTAAAGAGGCAGTTATCTTAAGTGATCTGATTTATGAGTGTCAAAGATCTGTATCATTTAAGATGAGCATTATCTGTTTTATCCTGGCATGGAGATATGCTATCATGACTAGGTAGGACAGCTGCATTATAGGCTACAGGAATGAAGCATTGCACATGACTTTCCTTTAATAACGTTGAAATGAAAACAAATATTCAGATTAGCACTTTCAATTTTCTTTCCACTCAGAAAAGAAAATGAAGTGTTAAGGGTAGTTTGCACATAGTCGCCCCTCTTTGCACAGTACACAGCACCCTAAGGTTATTTAGTAATCTAAAACTTCCCACAGGTGACAGAAACATTGAGTCAGCTCATGCTAAGCTGCCGTTGCTTTATGAAGGTCCTCAGATGAGCAGCAGAAGTGGGCTTGCAGTAGTCACCATGAAGTTGCACTGGCTGTGCCCTGTCCTCTGACAAATTTAGTCTGGGAAAGAGACTTTTCTGCAGCTGCATGGGTCAGCCCACAGTGCTGGTGTGATGGTCAGATCCTTGAGGACCACAGGAGTCCCTTAGCTTTTCTTCTCTTGCCTACCATTCCTGAATTTCTGCCTGTGCACATCGCTCAACTCTGCATACCTACAAAGTGCAATGGATCAGCTACAGTTACTTAGAAAACTGTTAGCCAAACCTTCTTCTAGCCTGCTTACAAAACAACCATCAATTCCTTGTCACATTATGTTACTTATAGGTGACAGTATAATGATTATATTTGCTGTAGGATGTGAAGTGCAGAAATTGAATGATATTGCATCCACTTTGTTACCAGTACTGTTTATATAATATTGTAAGACATCCTACATGATCTGGAAAAAAAAATTGGGTTGATATATGCATATTTCTTTTTGTTCCCTGTTCAGTAATTTGTTCTTTCCATTCATTTATAGCTGATTTTCTTGTACAAATGGAGGGAAAACCAAAATGTTGCTTCTTTAAGTTTAGCTCTAAAATACAATATAACAAAGTAGTAAAGGCACAATTATGGATATACTTGAGGCAAGTCCAAAAACCTACAACGGTGTTTGTGCAGATCCTGAGACTCATTAAACCCATGAAAGACGGTACAAGATATACTGGAATTCGATCTTTGAAACTTGACATGAACCCAGGCACTGGTATCTGGCAGAGCATTGATGTGAAGACAGTGTTGCAAAATTGGCTCAAACAGCCTGAATCCAATTTAGGCATCGAAATAAAAGCTTTTGATGAGAATGGACGAGATCTTGCTGTAACATTCCCAGGACCAGGTGAAGATGGACTGGTAAGTTTACTAAAAAAGCCTCATTTAAATATCTTGGTGTTGGTTTTTTTTTTTATCATTGGAAAGTGATTGGTTGTCTTTTAAGGATAAAAATGGAAATACTGCTTAAGGAATGGACGATAAAGGTTCTATATACCCAATTCTTTCACTCTTTGCTCTCAATAGCAAAATCACTTAGACATTCCTGTGCCTCCATTTTCCTATTTGAAAAATTAAGATGAATTGAAATACCTCAGGGTCATGTTGTAAGGCACTGATTGGAAAATGTTTTGGCACTTACAAATGGATGGTACTATCAAAGTTACATTATTTCCAAACTTGAGAGCAAATACTGCATAATGTGAAGACTTTTTGCATAAAAGAAGCTAAAAGCAATTCAACTCTTTCTGTGATAAGAAATCTGCTGTAGATGGTGTTGAAAAGATTTTTCGCTCAATACATAAGAGAATTTCTCCCTATTCTGTATGCATGTGTTTTCCATTAATGACAATGAAAATTATCTATGTTTACGAACCCTGAGTTGTGCATCTTTTAGTGACAGAATGAATAATTCCTCCTAATAGGAATGTTTGAGTACATAAATTCTGCTCGATGCAATAAATGCATCATAATGATGAGCAAGCATAAAATAACTTGTTTTTTTTTCCTGCAAGGTGAACATAATAAATCTAAAGCATACCAGTTTAACCACAGCATTTTCCTTGTTGCTTCCCCAAGTTGCTAATCTTTTACAACCACAGCTGAACTTGCTGAAACAATCAAGAAATTTCTGCTTTTGAATAAAGTACTAGGAGCATAATTTTGCTTTTACTGCTACACAATAGATCATTCTGTTTATGTAGCTATGAGATGTTTAACTTCATAGCAGCGTAATGCAGTGAAAAGAATCAAGGGGAAAAGCACATCTTAACTGTAGATCCATCACAGATCTGAGTCTTCCGTAGTTGAAAGAGGCCACTGAGATATCAATAATGGCCATGCCACCTCCACCCATTCAAGTATCCAACAAGGTGTTTTCACATATGTGGATAAGCCAAGGCTTTTCCAGAGCTATCATCATCTGTAAAAACAAACTGAATCAAGAGCAATACAAGAAGAGATGCTCTGCAGTCCACAGCAGAGGAAATGTATTTCCTCTTTCCTCCATCTCCTCTCTCCAGCTGCTCTCTGTAGCGGGATGCCCCTCTCCATCACGCCTCTCTCCAAATTGGTTACTTCTGGAAAATGCTTTTCCAGCAGCTGAACAATGTACTGACCTAAAGGTGCGTGCCTTGAAAGGAACCAACTTGAGCAGCAGTTAGCTGGGCTGTTATTTACTCCTGAGGCAACTGCCTGGTCAGTGGCAAACAGGCATATTGCTGAAATTGACATGGGGCAGAAGAAACTTTGGGAACTTTTTCAAACTTATGATTACAAAGGTTAACATTTATTTCTATTCTCAGTTAAGGACTGCGCAAAGACACCTTCAGTAGGAAGCATGTGGCTCAGACATCTGCCCAAAGTGCTCTCCTGGCCACAAGGCTCTCTCACCAGTCAAAATATCACTTGTCCCTCCAAAGTCATTGCAGCATATCCAGCCCCCGGAGTAAAAGCTGTGAAGTGGAAATAACCTGCCTAGCAGGTTATTAATATTTTTCTACTACCACTCCAATCACTCCACCCAACCGTAATTAGAGAGATTTCCTGTCCTCCTGGGTCTGGAGGAGAGGCCTTCCCTGATATCCAGAAAAATCAAATACAGTAACGTTTGAATGGAGGAAATTTCAGATGGACTCACAAAAGGAATCCAGCACAGGTTGGATCCCGCCCTTTAAATGTGTGTGGGGTTTTTTTGGGTTTGTTTGTTTGGAGTTTTCTCCTTTTCGGAGTTCTTCTATAGAGAAGAAAGAAAGAAAGAAAAGCTCTTATTGTAGCAGCAAGGAAAACAACAGCTAAAGTAGGAGCCCAAGATCCTCATAATCTCTGAAGCTTTCTCTTAGCAGTTCAGGAAGAGATAGGCAGAAATTAACACTCTTCATGGAGAAGCAGCAGGGAAATGCTGGTCTTCAGAGTGAAGAAGAGAAACAATCCCTGAGCAGGGAACAAACGTAGCAGCCTTGGGTGAGGAAAAAGTTCTCAGAAGGGTAGAAGTTCAAAAAGGTTTGCAGATGTTATTTGAGAATATGAATTTGATACGTTTGTGTCAGAAATATCTATCTGCATGTTCTTACTCAAATTACATACGCCTACCTTGTTAATACTTCCGATTCCTTTTCCTCTTCTCTCAGAACCCATTTTTAGAGGTCAGAGTTACAGACACACCAAAACGGTCCCGCAGGGATTTTGGCCTTGACTGTGACGAGCACTCAACGGAATCTCGATGTTGCCGCTACCCACTGACAGTGGATTTTGAAGCTTTTGGATGGGACTGGATTATAGCACCTAAAAGATACAAAGCCAATTACTGCTCTGGAGAATGCGAATTTGTATTCCTACAGAAATACCCACACACCCACCTGGTACACCAAGCAAATCCAAGAGGCTCAGCAGGCCCTTGCTGCACACCCACCAAGATGTCCCCTATAAACATGCTGTATTTCAATGGAAAAGAACAAATAATATATGGAAAGATACCAGCCATGGTTGTAGATCGTTGCGGGTGCTCATGAGACCATCGTGAGATCCACCACTTCATAAATTGTGGAAGCCACCAAAAAAGCTATATCCCCTCATCCATCTTTTAAACTGTGAAATTACGTACGC